CAGAACAAAGAAGCTCTGGTAGCTACAAAGACAAATGAGGTTACTTTTCCTAGTAGGAGGAAATAAGCTCTGTAACACAATAAATCAAGCATATTATAATGCTCAATAACATAGGTGTTATAAAAGTAATGTTCAAGAGAATTTACGGAGATGTGGGAATCTAAGTCAGGTCTCAAATACAAGCAAGACACATAACTGTATACTACAGAGCTTTATGTAGCAACCCTACTCTCCCAGAAAATCATGCTAAAATAAAGAAAACAAAGAGAGAGAAACACAAACTCTGTCTCCAATAAACCAGAGACGGCTAAATGCAAATGCAATAAATATGAAGCTGGAAAACAGGTAGAAAAAAAAATAGAAACCAATGGTTAACACAGAAAATGTTATCATAGCATATTACTTAGCTCCACAGTAAATAGCATTTACATAGTCAAAAATCATGAAATATCAAAAGTGGATTCAATTTGAAATTGTGAAAAATATTAAGAGAGATGAAAGAAAACTAAAATTCTTAACCACTACAATAAGATGCCAAAGGACAATGCCTAACAAACTAAATTTAAGAGGGCACTATGCCTATTATTGACTTTTCAAATGTGTACATAATTACTTTGTAGTAATTCATTTTAAATAATGTTTCTATCAAAAACAAACAAGAGGACAAACTGAAAAACTGATTAAAGATATAAAACAAAGCAAATAAATATATAAAGGACCCTTTAAGTAGAAAAATCTACAAACCCACCTTTTTCTACTACCACACACAACCACAATCCAAATTCAATGGTTTTCTCCACCCCTTTTACCTATAAAATTAATATTTTAAGTATAAATGCAAAGATATATATGTATATCTACAGACTGCCAATGGCAATATAATTAGCAAATTTCTTATATTGTAATTTGACACTATCTTTCAGTGTATGTGACTTGACCTTATCCCAATATTCCACTTATTGGAATATTTCCTAAGGAAATAACTAATAATTTGCACTCTTTACATATCTCCAAGGTATTCTCCAAAATATTAGTTAAAATACTGAAGGGCTAGCAATAATAGAACTTTCCCTAAAAGGAAAACAGCAAAATAAATTATGAAATAGATCACTAAGCAGATATTAACAAAAATGTTTTAAAGGGGAAGGTAAGTAGCAAGTCAGTAAGATGGAGGAAAAGATGCTAAGAGGAAGGACATAAATAGAAAAATGAGATGAATAAGTATAAATTATGTATGGGAAACAGGAGCTTATTTCAGCAAGACACAGCAAGACATTTATTTCTGCAATAATGCTATTTGAGCAGAAACAGTGGGGTAAAGGTAATCCTTAAGATATGGGTGCACCAGAGCCTTCATTAAACTTGTTCACTTAGTGCCATAAAGTTGGTAAAAACATAAGCTTTTGGAGCAAAGACCTAGGATCCAAAATACAAACTCAGGAATTCATGTAACGTCTCGCCAATTTTAAATTTAAACTCTCAGGTCACTGTAAAACGTAATATTGTTTCCTTAGTACTACTATAAAAGTGAAAAAAATGAGATATATAGAGCATTGTGTTCGATGTTTATATCAGACTAAGAGCAATAAACAAGTTAAATCAAATCACTATGCAAAATAATAAAAGAAACAAATAGAAAGGTATTGTATTGTTGTTAAAGATGTCCATGGTCCTTATTTCTAAGTAACAGTCTTAATAAATACAGAAACAAGCACATGCTGCCTAAGTTCATCCACCAGTGAAATGCCATGTTTCAGCTGAAACTGTAATTGTGAACATATTCATATACTGCCTCTTACTGTTTCATAGGAGAATTGATTGTTCTGTGCTAACACAAGCTATTAAGTATTTAAGGAACAGAACACACGCTTCAGTCTCAATTACTTCTTTAGCAGTTTTCGGTTTATAAAATGATTTGTTCTGCTAGTTTTACCTGTGATAGTGGCAGTATAGGAATAGACTGTGCTGCTTTATATGTATGTCAAGAACCTTGATCGGATCTACAACTGTAAGTAAACTAAACTCTCAACTTACAACAAATTGTTTCTTCTTTTTGCCACTTAGTGTTAGCTATAACTAAACATTTTCACTTATTTCATTTCACATTTCCAATGTGCAAGAAGATCCATAACCAAAATGTGTAAGCTCTCCAAACAAAACTACAACAGAGGAAAATAACAAAGAAATAAGTGTGGAACAGAAAAGACCCATCTTTTTATTTCAGGCACTATTTAGGAAATGGCATCATACTCTAATTACATAAAACATTTAACGAGGGTCATACAGGTAATAAAACTTCATGAGTGTGTGTGTATGTGTGTGTGTGTGGAGATATATATGAGATCCATATCATTCAAATAAAATAAAATGCAATTTAGAAAGAAAAGACTAGTTACAGTACATTAATATTCTTGGTGTGGTAATAAAATAAAAGCTTTCATCCATGTGCATTTTAACAGAGGATCATCTAATGCTGGAAGTTACTTACAGTCCCAAAGACTCAGAAGAGCTAGCCATATCATCACTACTGCTGGTATCATTTTAGGGGTTTTTTTGTTTGTTTGTTTTTGTTTTTGTTTTTGTTTTTTGAGACAGGTTCTCACTATGTAGTTGAGATTGACCTCAATTCACTATGCAGCCCAGGCTGGTGTCGAACTCAAAGTGATCCTCCTGCCTCAGCCTTCCAAGTGCTGGGATTACAGGCATGTGCCACCATGTCCGGCTTGCTGCTGGTATCATTTTAAGTATAGATGTCATTTATTCAACACCAATATTCAGTACTATCATTCTAGAAATATGGCAAATTGAAATACAATTAAAACTTCTTCCATAATAATCAAAACTTCAAAAATTTAACTCAAAGTTATCATCACTAGAGAAAAGCAGATTCTGCCAAGTTCTACAGTACAGTTTTCTACATGAGACAAAGTAACCAAATATAGAGATGCTTTCATCTCCAAAGAGAATAAAACAAGAACATTTTAAACAAAAATATTTGTTCTCTTTTTGAGTAGGTATACGAAGTATAGAACAACATTCTAAGAAGAGTTACAACAGATTCTAGTTTTCTTTGAAATTCTCTTTGGAAGGAAGAAAAATGGGTCAGATGCAAGGTTGCTTCAAAACCGTTAATTTCCTAATTTTCATTACTCCAAAGAGAAATGAAACTTTTTTTTCAGTCTACTACATACTTTAGTGCAATAAATTTAACACATTTTAAATGTATTTCCTACTTAAAATTTTCAATGTGAATCCCGCCACTAGAGGGAGTTTATTTTGTTTCACAAATTCAGTTGAAAACCGACCAAATGCCCTTCAGGTGAACAATATGTCACCAACTTCACTCCAAGAATTCACGAATTGTATATAGAAATAGCCATCTTTTTTTTTTCTTTGCCAGTTCTAAAATTATTCTACAGCACATTTTAAATAAAATAAAATGGTCATCACTTACAAGGTCAAAGTTAAGCAGATAAGCTCAAACAAGATGTAATTTTCCTCAAAGTTTGTTTTAGACCGCTTCAGCCACCTATTAGTAGTTTAATTTAAAAACTCTTGTTAAAATATAATGGCCTCATTCTTAGAGTATGATTAACTTTGACTAACTGTGCCTTTCATTCAGGTAAACGCCAGCACTAGGCTTTTCTTATGCAACAAAGTGGTGACATTTAAGGCATTTGTATAGTTAGAAGCAGTCCATGGTACTCAGTAAAGATCTGATAAATGTCTACAATGACTAAAGTGCAAGGGGACGAGGAAAATACAAGTAAAGTCTAAGGAAGTACATTAAAATATAAAAGGAAACTTACACAAAACAAAAATGCAGAAAGATCCTTCATAAATATTAACTAGAAACCAAAACTATTACAATTAAAACATTTAATTTTGTTAGAAAACAAAGCACATTCTTTTTAAAGGGGATGCTGACTAAAATTCAATATCTGAAAACCCCACCAAGGCTTCAAATTTTCTGACTTATGTACATAAACCCACGATACCTACATCATGTTTTAAGTGTACTGTTACTTTAATAAATACATAGAACAGGCATTTGGTTGCCTCTCAGTTATCAAGGACAAAATCAAATTAGTCAAATACCTTTTAATTGAAGAAACCATTCTACCAAAAAGAAAATAGTATTGAAATCTTATGGCCCAGAATTGCCAAGACAAGAAATTGCTAGCTCAGCAATATTCCAGTCAGAAACACTGTACCATAAAACTTTCAAATTCGTCAGTGTATTTGTAGTGCGTATCTTCTGTTAATGTTCATTTAAAAGTCTAGATCTGAAGAATAATGATGATTAAATTCTCAGGGCAAACTAAAGTTCTAGAATAAAACCAATTTCAAATACTGGTATAATAAATCTTAAACTGTTCTTTTTCTAGGTTCACATATAGCGACTGTTAAGTTTTAAGCAAAATGCACACTTTTGAGTTTCTATAAATAACCATTTCTGTGTTCTTAAACTTCTTTGTAAAAATCTGAGAAATACTGATAGAAAAGAAAATTGAAAGTTAAGGATTAAGAATCATCTATCAATATACCAACTCACAAAAGATGATGTGAAAAGTGTGGGATTATTTTTCTAGGAAAAAAATTCTAACGTACTTTCCAACTCACACAAATATACGACCAAAACGAAAGCCAAGTCTGTAAGCACTATTAGATTGGACAAAATTTTGAAGTGTGTGTAAGTGGCGGCGGGAGGGCTACAGACAGACACCAAGAATGAAACTTCTCTCTCAATAAATCTAGTTCTAAATCTTTTACTTTATGGACTCTAAAAGCACCCCAAAAGTGAGAAGAAAGCTTCCTCAAAAGGTGGCCAGGAACACCCACCCTCCTCCACCGCACACTTCCACCTGCTCCCACCCCGACACTTCGCGAGATGACAGCTCTCCGCAGGGTCGCGCTGGGCGCTGCGAGATGACTGCAGCCTGATTATTAAGTAAGTAAGAAAGCACCGCAGAAACCAGATGCCACAGAGGACAGGATACCTTGAGAGGTGATTCTGCCCCTTCTTTCCTCCGAGGCGGCACGTGCTTAGCGCCCTCCCAAGTTTTCCACCCTCAGTGCGAATTCTGAGACCGTCCTCTGACCTAACCCGAGCGATATTCAGAGGAGAGGGATTTCCAGACGGGCGTAGGCTCCCTAATCCACCAGCACCACAAGGTGGGCAGGTCGGAGCTGTCAACAATTGAGGACCCAGAAGAGGACCGAGCTGCAGAGGCGAGAGGGCGCGCACACCCTGAAGGCCGTGCAGCCACCGAAACGGGAAATTCCGAGCGCTGGGTCGCTTCGCGCCCGCGCCTCTCGGTCTGCGGTCGGTGTGGGCGCC